GGGCGGGGCGGGGCAGCGGGACGAGCTGAGCCGGGAGAGGAGCGGCCCGCCGCGCCGGCCAGAGGGCGTCCCGTTACCTTGCGTCACGACCACCGCGCTCCGTCCCGCTCCCTCCAACAGGGCCCTGGGACCCTGGTGCTGCCTCTCTCGCTCGCGGATGGCATGCGCTTAGCATGCGCCTGCCACAGCCGCCCCGCCACGACGACCGGCCCAGCGGGCGCCGCGCCCCACCCCGCCCGCCTCGCCACCCGCGGGCCGAGCAGACACGGACCCGACCCGCAACGCCCAGCAAAGCCTTTCGGGGCTTTCGGACGCACTCCCCGATGTGCTGCGCTGGCTTCAGGGAATTCTTACACGGAGGAAAAGACAGAGGCACAGAGTTCTGCACGCGCGCGAAGAACCATTCAGTCGAAGCCGGAGGGTTTCGGATAGAATATCAGAGGCGAACGCCAGGAAAACTACATATGCGCCGTTCTGCCCCCCCCCCCCTTCCCCCTTTTCTCTCGCTCTCTCTATCCCTACGCGTGTCATTGAGATGTGAGTGACTCCCCGAGGGCACCGGAGGAACAACACGCGGCACTGTGCCCGCGCTCCACTGACCCCCTCGCCCTCCCCCTCCCCGTCCCGCGCTCGCTCTGGGGGGCTCTTTGCCCTGAGCGCGCACGCACACAACACACATACACCTCAGTGTCCTCCGTGGCGCTTTCGCCCCGTCATCTTCTCGTCCATCTACCCGCGTCCACTACCTGTGTCTCGAGTCCGGCGGAGTACAGTGCTGAACCCTACCGGGCCGGGCCGCCGGCCTGGGCCGGGCCGCCCCGTCAGCCGACGCGCTGCCAGGCGACGCGCAGCACGAGCTCAAGAAGAGCGAATTAAGCGCGGCGCCGCGGCTGGAATATTTTTCGAGGGAAGCGAAAGTGTTTGTCGAGTCGCGCGCGTCGCTCGGAGAGGTGACGCTGCACTGCGGAGGCGGTTTATAGTCTCGAAGCGTGACGCTCACGGCATGGCAAAGGGAGAGGGAGGGAGGGAGGGAGGGAGACAGAGAAGAAGAGCAGAGGGACCACAGAACAACAGCCTCGGCATTTGGCGAGCAGAGTGCCTTTCATTTATCTGCAGCCGTCGACGGCGACGTGACCACGCCGCCGCGATGGCAACCCCGGCCGCTGCAGTAACCTGGACTGAGTCTCTGCTGCAGATAAAGTGGGCACAGACTTCCAGACTCTTCCAATCCGTGGGTAGTGGGCTGCATCTACGCCTGCCGAGGGGTTAGTCAGTCAAGGGTTTAGTTGGGCGCTAAACGCACATCACTCCGCATACCGAGTGGCTGAACCTCGCGCACCCTTATAGTCACACTGCACCACACGCCTGCTTGCATTACAGTCACTACAAAAGTGCTCGGGGTTAATAATCAGCCACCTGGTCTTGTGTTTGCGGGAATTTCTCCTCGCAAACACTGCCTGGACCGGGCGTCGGGGAATGGACCATGGAGAGCGGGTCCATCCCGGGAGGTAGGCAGCCAAGAGGCTGCGGTGCTGCGCGGGCGTGCCTACCTCGCCGGGGCCCCAGCCCGCGGGGAGCGCGAGCTCTGCACAGCAACTACTCACCCGAGAGCACCTGCATCCAGCCGCACACGTGGAACACGGTGGTGGAGCGCAGGAAGAAGAAGAGCAGCATGGACACGATGGCGAGCGCGGCCAGCAGCACCGACAGGCCCACGAAGATGGTGGCGGCGCGCCAGGCGGGCGAGGGGATGGAGCCCAGCTCGTGCAGCCGGCCGCGGCAGTCCTCGGCGCCCGTGGTCAGCCCGCTGGCCGCCGCCGAGTTGCCCGCCGACCCCGCCGACCCGACCGCCCCGGGGACGCCGGCGTCGGCCGACCGGAAGTAGCAGCTGCTCCACAGGCCGAACCTGGCCGGGTACTCCGAGTCCTGGGTGTCTCCTGAAACAGAAAACAGCAAAATCATTTTTTTACCGGGCGCGGATTATTACGAAACGGAAAGACAGCAGTCCAGGGTTTAGCAGCGCGTGCGTTTTTTCTTATTTTCGTACTGTGATATGGTTTGGTTTCCCAAGCGCGCATGCATGGAGGGCCGCCCTGGGAACAGGGCCCGCTCACGTGGGAGACCTCTGGAGAGACTCGAGTGGGTCGGGCCGTGGCGTGCGGGCGCGGGCCAGGGGGGCGCCAGCGCGCCTGCAGTGTGCACAGCACAGGCGTGCCCAAGGCCCACTCCGTCACGCCCTCCCCGACCGTAATTACCACTATTTTTGCTGTTGTTTGTTGTAGTGCGGGGCCCTTTTAGCGCGGCGACACTGTGACACAACCCGCTGCACCTGCAGCGCGCCGCTCCATGCCCTGGCTACCTTTCTCCCAAGCAGCGACTCAGCGACACGATGTTGATGTTGTTGATGGAGCTAGAGCAGCCCCCTTTTTATTTTATTTCTGCGACGCCGCCAACGCCGCGCACTTTCGGCCAACACCGATCGGGTGCGTGATACCCGTCGAGAGCGAGCATGGAGCCAACAGCTGATGAAAATGAAACTGATCTCCGAGGTGGCGCCGCGCCCGACGGCTGGGGCGTCTGCGCGACAGCGCTCGATAGACGCTGCCAATCGTCATCATCTGAAAGTGCGCGGCTTCGCGCGGCGGCTGCAGCAGCGAGAGTCGGTCGGCCCTGGCGGACCCGGTAATGACTTTTCCTCCCAAACCGACGAAATCGAATCGGAAACCACGGCGCGCGATGGCTGTGCGGAGCGACACCGGTGGTCCAGCGGGCCGAGGCTGAGGTGAGCGAGTGGGAGAGAGAGAGATGCAACTCCCCGCTCCGGGCATTCCCTCTTGCGGACTGGGGCGGGGAGCGGTGCGGTGGCGGCGGGGTCAACGGACCACTCCCATTCGATCGGATCAGACCATATATTTTCGCACGGCTATGCAGCACTAGCGGTGGGCGGGATAGAGGAACGGGCGTGGCGGGGCGTGGCGCCACCAATCACCTAATCGGCGTGCTCCACTTTACGCCGCTCCAGCGGCAGCAGCCGGAGCTGCTTACGGCGGCCCAGCCTTGGCTGCACAACGACCCCACAACGATCGTAAGCAGCGTTTAAGGCGCGGCGTTTAAGCGCTTAAGCACGGCAAAAACGGGGGTGAGGGGGTATTGGGCGAGCTGAAAGGGAAGGGTATGGTGAAATGTCGGAAGAAGAAAAGAAAAATATGCCCCTGAAAGTTTCCGCCAGTTTAACTAACTAAAAGTATTTTTACTTGTGATTTAACGAGCGAGCGCACAACAACGATCTGGTATCGCAGGAAACGTGCGCTTAACAAAAGATCTGATCGCAGGCCGTTGCCTTGAAAAAGTAAAAAGAAGACGCCGTCTCGAAGGAAGGCCGATTTGCTGCTTCACAAGAGGGGACCATCTCGCGGCCAATTGACGCTGACACTGTTACCCACCTATCCACTCCGGGGTGACGAAGGCGACCACCCCGATGATGGCGTAGCAGATGGTGAAGATGCCCCACAGCACGCCGATGGCCCTCGAGTTGCGCACGTAGTTGGTGGCGTACATCTGGGAGGACTCGACGTACTCCACCTTGGAGCCCATCTTGACGACCTGTCACTTCCACTACCACCACAACAACAACACGGCGGCCGCCGCGCGGAGCGAGGTTAGGTTAGGTTGCCAAGATGGCTGTCAGTCCGCTCGGTCGTCCCCGCGGCACTAGAACACCTGCTCGGCGCTCGGGGGCGCTCTTCTGCGCGCTGCTGGGCCTCCCCGTCACTGCCCCATGGTCCTGGGCACTCCCTCGCCTCCTCGCACGGGCGCACCCGCGGCCGGGGTTGACACACAAAGGATGACAGGACGGCGACGCACGGTACGCGACACGCTGCACTCTCTGCACACCTGGGCCTGGCCAGCGACGCAAGGCGGACTGAGGAGGCGGCGAGGTTGCTCTGCTGCTGCCGCTGCTGCCGGGCCCGGCCGCGGGTCTGTGCCCCTGCCCCCTCCCCCTCTTCTGCCTACCTGGCCGGCCCCTCCACCTCCGCTCCGGCCCTGCTGCTCGGGCTGCATCCGCCGCGGAGGTGAGGCCGCGGCGGCGGTGCGGAGCGCGACAGGTGTGTGCGGGGCGCCACTCGGACGCAGCCCGCGGTGGGCCCGGCGCGACGGGCAGACGGACAGACAGACTGACGGACGCTCCGACAAAAAGGCTCATTCACTCGGTCAGGGAGCATCGGGATCATTCAGGACGATGGGGAGGAAGTAGAAGAGGAAGGGCCGTTCGGCCGGTTGCTGTTAATAAACGAGGAAGTCCGAACTAGTTCAAACGTGATCGAATTTTGAGCTTGCTGAGGTTGCGCTCTTCTTCTGCGTTCATTTTTGATCGTGATCAATACACCAATAAGCATGATAATCCACGGTCCTCGACCAACGGGTGCGGATCTATGACGGCGGGGGGTATGGTCGGAGGGGGAGGAAGATGTCGACGCTGTTTGCCTATCTACCAGGCTTTCTGTTCAGAGGGAAGTCAAGACCAAGACCAGCTTAGAGTCCTCTAGGACTCTAGACCAGCTCTCCCCCTAAAACCGTAGCGGCCGCGGGACCGTGCAGTGTGACTCACTCCCGGGCCCGGGCGGGTCGGGCGGGAGATGTTCCGGAAGGGGCTCTACTGCTCCTGGATCTGGTGGTGGCGTCATGACAAGCCGATGAGCTCCGGCCCCCCGCCAGGCGGAAGCGTGCACGGGGCCTCCGGCAGTCCCTGGCCCGGCGGGTGCATCGCGGTGCAGTAACAGCGCCGCAGTTCTGTAATCAGCGACGCGCCGTGCAAGATGACTGCCACCACCTCGACTGCTTCCCATCAGAGTGGAATGCGCGGTGCGATGCCGCAAAGTAACCTCTCTGTCGATGAAGATGAGTCGAATCGAGGAGGAGAGGGGGTTGGGGTCCCCGCCTGCTCTGCCTGCCGCCTCTCCGCGGGCTTTGACTTTCTAGCTCATGAAGCCTCATCATCTGCGTCGTCGCCCTTTCCTGCTCCCATGGGAATTGCATACCATCTTCTGCGTCGGCCCCGGCCTGGGCGGGGGGCGATAATAATAGTAGTAGTGCGCTGCGGTGTGATTTCTGCGCGGGAGCTTTTGTTATTCATAGGAGATTGCAGCGATGACGGTATGGAGGCATGTCACCCCCGTCCCCCCTCCCCCGGGCCGTCTCTCATCATTTACACATTTAGAATTGCGCTCGCTCTCTAAACACGGCATGAGTAACAAGAAAATCAAACCAACTTCGGAAAGACTTGCCGCCAGTAACCCTTGTTTTCAAATTTGTGAAAATGTCGCAGCATAATTATTCTTCCAGTTCAAACTGCTGATGTAGATAAACCAAACTCTTATAGGTTGTGGGTTCTGGTAGAGCTGCTTCGGCTGCTTCTCATTTTCCCCTTGAGCTTTCCCTGTGTCTGTTAGGAGCTGGTGTTTAAATGGGCCCGCGTGTTTTCAACTGTCTCGGCAGACTTCGGCTGTCGCTCGGCTTTTGTTGACGCGATCACCGTACCAACCTCAAACTGAAAATACTGCGTTTGATTCTCGATTTGGAAAAAAGAATCGGCCTCTAAATATGTCTTGAGAGGTTGAAAACTACTGCGGTTAGTTTAATTTTTTTTTCTTTGAATATTCAAGCACCATAATATTTTCTTACATCATCCTCAACATTTTTCTGCAGTTTTATGTTAAGGTGGTTTTCCTCTTTGAACTGAACTTTATGTTTTGAGGTTATGGTTATGGTTCATGCAACAACCGACAAGCCTGTGCCTGTGTTTTGAGTTTTGAGTTGTCGTGAAAGAGTCTGTGCTCGTTCAAGGTCTGTGTGTTTCCGAAACTAGCTGCGGCTATTGTAGCCCGAAAGAAAAGACATTTTGTGAACGTAAAATCAAATCTCAAACGGAAAATGTAAGTTAAATGTATTCTACTGTAATGATACACTCCGGTATTTGGTTTGGTCTTGCAGACATAACCTTCAGCTAATGTAATAACAATTTTAAGTACATTTCTGTTTATATTCCTTTCAGATCACCTGTTTATCAAGTTAAAGATGTCCAGTCCCGACTCTCCCACCTCTCCTGACCCTCACAAAAATGATTCTGATTCTGAAGGGCGCCGGTCAGACAGTGAGCCCCCTCCAAAGAAAACTAAAAAACATCAAGATCAGGATTCTGACGATGAAAGAAAAGTACAAAAACTAGACAACCCTGACAAGTCCTCCAAGAAAAGGCAAGCTTCCTCTGAAGAACCAGAGCAGGGGGAAATCAAATCCAAGAGAGACCGAAGTGATGGAGACAAAGATAGAAGCAGTCGCAGGGAGAGAGATTTGGACAGGGACAGAAGTTATGATCATGGGAGAGGCAAGGATAGGGATAGGCGTCAAAGACCGTACGGGAAGGAGTTTGAAAGGGATCCCCCTGCCAATTATGAAAGATATTGGGGAGCAGGGCCTAAAAGAAGTTACAAAGATCGCAGAGACAGAGATCAAGATAGGGGTTACGACAGAGACTATGACCGAGATGATCGATCCCATGATCGTAATAGAAAGTATGGTTCAGGTAAGGTTGGACCTCGCTACTATGGTGGAGAAAAAGATGATTCAGATAAAGAGGACGCCAAAAAGAGTGATAAAAAGACAACAGGTGATGTTTCGAAAGAAGGAGCAGGAAGCAAAGCAGAGGAGACAACAATAAGCAAAACCTCGGAGAAGAAAATTGTTGACTTGCTCACCTCAAAAACTGGTGGTGCATACATACCACCAGCCAGACTCAAAATGATGCAAGCTCAAATCACTGACAAGTCTAGTGCTGCATATCAGAGAATTGCTTGGGAAGCCTTAAAAAAATCCATCCATGGTCACATTAACAAAGTTAATACAGGTAATTTGGCTACAGTTATAAGAGAGCTTTTACAAGAAAATATCGTCCGAGGCTGTGGTCTTCTTTGCCGTAGCATAATACAGGCTCAAGCTGCCTCACCAACATTCACTAGGGTGTTTGCTGCTCTTGTAGCAGTTATCAACTCCCGGGTATGTATATGACTTTTATCAATTTATGTAAATGCATTGATCAATGTTATAAGGTTTCTGATTTCTCCTTTTTTTAGTTTCCACAAATTGGAGAATTACTTTTGAAAAGGGTAGTAATAAATTTTAAGAGAGGATTTCGTAGGCAGGACAAGGCCTCGTGTATATCCTCAGCTATATTTATTGCTCATCTTGTTAACCAGAGTGTTGTAAGTATTTGACAATTTTTAAAATGTTCTTGTCTTAAATCCAACCTTAAAACTGCAGCATGTGTTTTTCTGTTTTGTTTTTCTGTAGGCACATGAGCTGCTTGCTTTGGAAATTTTAGTCCTACTAGTTGAGAATCCTACTAGTGACAGTGTTGAAGTTGCTATAGCCTTTTTGAAGGAAGTAATCGATAAACTTTTGGAAGTAGCCAAGAAAGGAACTATGGCTATTCAAGACATGTTGCGTAACATTTTACATGAAGGTACCCTTGATAAAAGAGTGAGTGTTTCTTTTTTCTCATCTTAAGGTAGCCTTTTTATCATCTATCTATCTACCCAGTACCATTAATTTTTATGAAATGATTCTTACAGGTTCAATACATAATTGAGACAATGTTTCAAATTATTAAAGTAGGTGGATCAAAGAAACTTGATGATGAGCAGAAACAGAAGGAGGATGAAGAACTATTAAATATTGTCGAAGAAGAGGATCAAATGACACACATTATTAATTTGGATGATGCTGTCGATCCTCAAAATATTCTTGGTAATAATAACTATATAATATGTGCTTTTGAACTTTCTCCTTTCAGAGATACTCTATTGAGTACATGGCTATTTTTATAATTGTGTTTTGTCTTTCCGTAGATGTTTTCAAAGAAGATGAAAAGTATGAGGAAAATGAAGCTTCATACAAAAAGCTTCTTCAGGAAATTGTGGGCAGTGACAGTGAATCAGGAGAAGAGGGTTCTGGTGAAGACGATGACTCAGATGAGGATGAAGAGGATAGTGATGGTAAGTGCGGGCTATTTTCTAATTATTTTCTGCTCTTAAAAGCTAACAACTTTTTAACCATCTATCTATGTTTTTTTTTTATTTTTTATTCTATCTAGGAGAGAAGAAGGCAGATGCAATTATTGATAACACAGAAACAAATTTAGTGGCTTTGAGGAGGACAATTTATCTAACAATACAGTCTAGTTTAGATTTTGAGGAATGTGCTCATAAGCTCATGAGGATGCAACTTAAACCAGGTCAAGAAATGGAAATGTGTCACATGATTCTTGATTGCTGTGCCGAGATGCGAACGTATGAAAAGTTCTTTGGCCTTCTTGCTCAGGTAAAGCATAGTATTGTTAATGTATTTTGTCAATAGTTTTGAAATTTTGTCTTTTACATGTGGTTCCAACCTGCTTTTCTTTTCTTTTATAGAGATTTTGTATGATCAACAAGTTGTACGTTTCTCCATTCCAACAAATATTTTGTGATAGTTTTGCAACAGTACATCGCTTGGAAATTAACAAACTCAGAAACGTAGCAAAGTTCTTTGCACATCTACTCCATACAGACGCTATATCGTGGGAAGTTTTGTCTGTGTGCCGTCTGACTGAAGAAGATTCAACATCATCTTCAAGAATTTTCATAAAAATTCTTTTCCAAGAACTTTCAGAGTACATGGGACTACCAAAGTTAAACAACCGTGTGAAAGATGCCACTTTACAAGTAGCTTTTGAAGGACTTTTCCCTCGAGATGATCCTAAAAACACCAGATTTGCTATTAATTTCTTCACTTCTATTGGTTTGGGAGGTCTCACTGATGAGCTTCGTGAACACTTAAAAACTCAGCCTCGTACTCCAGTAGTTCCCCTACCCATCCAAAAAGCTGTTGAGACATCGAGCTCATCAAGCTCATCAAGTTCCTCTAGTTCGAGCTCCAGCAGTAGTAGCTCAGGTAAGATTTAATAAAGCTTAAACTTTTCAGAATTTTTGCAATTATGTCTGTGTATTTTCATAGATAATGGACTCACAATTTTTGTTTCCCTGTATAGATTCATCATCTGAGAGTGAGAGTGAAAAGTCTAAAAAGAAAAAGAAAAAGAAAACCAGCTTAAAGAAAAAGTCTAAGGAGACACAAGAAAAATCATCAAAGAAGGCAAAATCATCATCTGAAAGAGGTAGAGATGAAAGTTTTGACAAAAGAGATTTTGAACAAGGACAGAAAAATGACAGACCAGACTTGGATAGAAATAGTCAGTGGCACTCAGATAGAGAGCCCCGCAGGGACATAGAAAGGGCTGATAGAAGAGAACAAGATGGGAGGGATAAAAGAGGAGACCGAAAGGATTTCGACAGATCAGAAAGAAGGGAATTTGAAAGGGGAGAAGGGAGAGCTCCTGATAGGATGGAAAGGAGAGAACCTATGAGAGGAGAAAGAAGGGAATTTGAAAAGGGAGAAGGGAGAGCCCCTGACAGAATGGAAAGGAGAGAACCTGTGAGAGGAGAAAGAAGGGACTTTGAAAAAGGAGAAGGGAGAGTTCCTGACAGAATGGAAAGGAAAGAATCAATGAGAGGAGAAAGAAGGGAATTTGAAAAAGAAGGTAGAATCCCTGACAGAATGGAGAGGAGGGAACCTTTCAGAGAAGAAAGAAGGGAGCCTCAGAGAGAAGAAAGAAGAGAGGTAGAGAGGTCAGGAAGAATGGAAAAAAGAGATTTTGATAGGAGAGAAAAGAAAGATTTTGAGAGAGGTGGTAATGATTATGAAAGGGGCAATAGAAAAGGCCCACCAAGAGAAGAAATAGACGAGGAGTTTGAAGGAAGAAAAGGTTCTTTGAAAGAACGGAGAAATTATGAAGATGATGAGCCAAGGAGAGGCAGTGGTAAAGAGCGGCGCAGAGAACCTGACAGAGACTACCAAGAAAAAGAGAGACCAAGAAATAGTGAAAGGGAATGGCAAAGGAATGGTGATAGGGACAAGCATAGGGAAAAAGATAGGCATCACAGAGACTCATAATTTCATAGGATTTGCGTAAAGCGTGGCATTCAAGTGGTTTATGTAAATGTTTGGTGTGTAAGCTCTCAATTTTTAAAATTGTGTACTATCATGAACTTTTACCTCCTTTTTTTTTGGACTTGGTTCTTTATGTTTATAGCAGAAAAGATTAAGTTATTTCTTTTATTTACTGTACTGGACATGTTGAACATTTGTGTAAATAAATAATCTTCCACATCTGGGAATTTAAAATGCAGAACTGTTTAAGTGATTCCCATCAGTCCATAGACTTGAGTGCAGTGGCAGTTATTTTTCGAATATCACACAGTTTTGTAGCAGGACATTTTTCAGCGGCTGGAAACAAAAATAACATTTTAATGTTGTGATGTTAACTTTGAGATTTTTTGAAAACAGTATATCAGATGTGAACTTTACCGGCATGGAATTCTTGGCATGTCCCACACTGAGGCACCAGCTGGCCCAGCTGACTGGCCAGATCACCCAGGCCTGAATCGACTTTAGCAGTGACACTGGCCCACCTAGCCAACAAGCACAGAGAAGCAAAGTACAAATACTCGTTATCCAATGCCCCGTCTTCCAGCAGCACGACGCGCACTGCTGTGCTGAGCTAGTCTAGTCTGCTACCTCTTGGCCTTCCGCAGGGGCGGGGGCGGCGCGTTGATGCAGGCCGGAGTCTTCTTCCAGGCGTCCTTGGGCACGTGCTTGCGCTGCAGCACGCCCCTCTCGGCGCGCGGGTAAGTGAACTTGTGGAACTTGCCGCACTCCTGGAACCACTGGCGGCGGTAGTCCATGCTCACGAGCATCTTGATGTCGGGGCGGAGCGCGGTGCGTTCGTAGGTCGGGATGAAGGGCTTGGGCGGCGGGCCCTTGAACACCGTCAGGTTGTCGGGCTTGGGGCCCTGCGGGACGGCCTTCTCCCACTTCCGGACAGCCTTGAGGCTCATGGCGAGGCCGGCCCCGGAGCTGTCCGCGAGGACACCAGGCAAACGGGGTTGTTAGAAGGTTCTTTTCGGCACTTCTCGTTGGCGCCAGCCGACAGCGATGACACTCTGTGCACATTACCTTTCGATTAGATGGATGAGGGGTCGGGGTTAGCTGCATTTCGACTTGCTCGTAGTGTAGTTCATTTTTTTCATTTTTATTTTTTGTGTGATTTTTCAAGTAAACAAATACACTTCGGGTGGTGAGTGGGAGGGAAGGGAAACTGAGAAAGTGTTGCGGGCCAGCTCGGCAACCGCAACAACAATGACACCTCGGTCAGAGTTCCGAGTCTATGGGTCCAGCCCAGCTGGCTATTTTGTCCAAGTAGAGGGGTCTGCTACCAGACCCTGGCACACAGGCACACGTAACATAGGAGACGGCCGCCCTCTTGGCGACGCGGAGGCCTGGCTAGAGGCAGATGATGGGCTCCGGGCGCTCCGGGTCCGGCGCTCCGCCCGCACTCCCCGTGCGTGCCCGGGGCGCGGGGGCCGAAGGGGCCGCGAGTGGCGGCGGCTCGCGGGGCAGGAGCTTGGACCGCTCGAGCAGCTCGCCGAGGTCCGCCGGCGCCGCGTTGTCCTCGCCGAGGATCTCGAAGGCCACCTGCACGGCGTCCTGTGCCTCGGCGGCCACGGACTGCGAACAGAGAGGGAAAGCCCAGCGGCTTATGACAAGCTGTCCGTGGCGTTGGTAGGAAAGTAGTGCGAGGGTGGGAGCGAGTGAGTGGTGCTACCCTCTCTCTCTCTCTCTCACTCACAAATATGATACGAGGCGACTAGGTTACGCCCCCCTCCACCCCCCGCACTCGCGCACGCCCCCGACGCCACGACGGCGCACTGCCGGGCTAATGGACTGCAGACGTGGTCGAAGCGGGGCCCAGCGGGTGTGACGTGCGGGGCGCGGGGCATGGGGCGCCGTCAGAGCTGACGGGGACTGACTCAGCCGATGCGCCCTTTTGGAATCTCGCCAATAAGGCAACAAATGTGGCGATCTCCGACTGTCTCGGACACACCGAGTGTCGTGGGAGCGCCCTGCCAACGCCACTGCCATACGCCCGCAACTGCACAGGTTCTACTTGTAACGCGTTTCCGAGTGCGTGCACGGCTCAGGCAACTTACCGGCCAGAGCCCCGGGTCCCTGCGACACCTCTCCGCCAGGGTGCAGTGGAGCTCGTAGAGCAGCATCCCTGCAGAAAGAGGGGGTCAGGTTTGGCGCGCACAGGACGCATCACGTCGAACTTTAGACTCCAACTAGAACGATGGTGCGCACCTGACAGCGAGCAGCGGCCGGCCCTCAGCGACTGCAGCACGGCGAGCAGCTCGCGGGTGAGGGCCTCCTTGAGGTGCAGCTGCTCCGGGGACAACTCTGCGCACAGAAAAATAACATCACTGTGGAGACTTTACATCAGCCGAAAATCCGTTGTTGTGGGCCGCAGTAGTGGCATCGACGTTACTAAATTGGTCGTTGCTTTCCACCAACCCTTCAACCAAGCCCCCACCCCCCTCCCCGCCCCGGTTCGCGTGACCGATGCGTGATTGATAAATGGCCCCCTTTTCACGGGGCGCAAGGCGCGCATCGAGCTGGCCACGCTGGCTCCGCCCCCCTCACGCACGACACGATGATGATGGGACTTTGATGACAATTGCTGCTGCCGCGTCGTGTCGTATTCTTTGCAGTGCACGAGGCGGCCCTAACCCCCTAACCCGGCAGCATTTCGGGAGGGGGTGGGGGTCGAGCTACGCCCAGGCAGGTAGCAATAAACGAGGGGGGTGTACGGTAGGGGGCGAGGGGATACGTATGTTTGACTCGTATAGCCCTCCCCCCCCCCTCCCTTGCAGACATCCCCACTGCATCACGTCCGAAGGGGGCGGCGGCGG